AAATCTAATTTTTAGTTTTCTGTGTAGCCTAGAGCTCTAGATTTTTCATATTTCAGTCTTTTGTCGCAGTTTTGTAGTGTAAGTGAAAAAACACCATTGGGTAAAAATTTTTATTGACATATCTTTGTGATGTATTTTTTTTAAAGCGTTAAATGACTATAATTAAAGTTTTTTATAATTTCTACAGCTTTTTGAATTTACACATGAAATACAACAACCGAAAGCGTGCATTAAAACAGACAGAAAGTGTTTGAAGCTTGGAAAGTTTTTATAGAATTAAGAAAAAAAGCTGTTTTTTCGGTCAGAAATCAAGCGTAAAAAAACCACCAATGAATCAAAGAGAGAAGTTTAAAAAAAAACGACTGTCAATTAGCAACTTTTGTAACAAACGTCGGTCATGAAATTTATTTCTAAATTTTGCATTCAATTATTAAAATCTGGGATAAATTTGCTTTGTAAACTGAATTCTGTTTTAATGTTTTCAGGATGTTTTTAAACAGTTACTGAAGCTGGTGGTAGTGCACAGTACTTTACCATTCGAAGCAAAAACCTGACATTTTTTAGTATGCTAAAACTGTTGCATGGATAGAAGAAGTAATAGATTGCGTGTTTTCGTTTCTGTTGGGTGTGTTTTGCAGATATCCAAAAAATATGCTGTGCATTTGAGGACTGTTCATAAAACGATAAAAAAAATGTTGCCTTGCTACGAAAAAAACAACTGCAGAAACATACTATCATCTCAACTTCTACTGAACAATCAATAGATTTTCATATTATTGAAAGAATTCAATTCCGCAAATACCAAGCCTTTCATTGCTTTCTTCATGACACTTAATTCTGTCAATGCATCTGTTCCAGTGATTTTTTTGATTGCTATTATATTCTTCGCTTCACCAGTAAGCTGAGATACTGCTGCTAGACTGCTTAGAGAAACTTTGAATCTTCTGTAGCAGTTGAAGTGAACAGTCAAACTATCTTTGCTTTCTATAAAAAATAAATTTACAACACGTTAGAAGAATTTCTTCTTCAGTCATTTGTTTACAACAGCCGCAAAAGAATTTCGGGGGTTATCAAGAAAAGTTTAGATTTCTACAACAAAGCTTAACGGAATGTACAGATGTCATTTTAGTTAAAAAATTTATCAGCTATACTATAATAATTGATTACATTAACCTTAAGCAGAAAAGTTCTCCTTAACGCAAATCTTACTGAGTTTTACATAATCTGTAGGTATTTTTAGAAAGTGTGCTACAGTTCAATTTTCCACTTTTTTCTCTTTGATCTTACTAAATGTCACGCACCATTTATTTTCCAGTCTGTAAATCCGGGACAGAGCTTTAACGCGCAGCGTTTGAAACGTTTGTCCCAACTTTCTGTTTCCTTCTTTTTACTGCTGTACAACCACTCTCTTTTAAGAGTTGTATTCAAGAAAAGAGTGTAAGTTAATAATATAATAAATTGTCGACGTTTCGATGCTTTTCAGCGCGACGTTTATGCAAACTTTGTAAGAGAATAGTTAGAAATGCAGGAAAACGTTCAAGAACACCAACTGATTAACGCCGTATGGCGTTATATACATTCTGATTCTTAAGCGCCCAAATAAAAAAGAGACGTTTAGTTGGCTATTCATTATAATTATTTTATTGGTTACCAAGCTGCCGTTAAGCTGTGGATAAGAAAGTGTGTGAGTAACAGACTCTTGGTAGCCTACGTAATGATGAATTTTTCTTTATAAAAAGGTTTTACTGTTGCAATTTAGAACATTTGATTAGCTATAAAGAAATTTCTTTACAGGAAATTTATGGAGAAAATACTGCTATGAAAGCGAAAAAATAGAATTAGTCAGTAAGATAAGGGAAAGTGCAAGCAGTTTTATAAATATTTGCTGAAGCAAGGGAGATGCTGTACTGTTGCCGTACTATTCTGTTTGCAGTACTCAAAATGTTTTTGTAGGTTATGGGGCGTAAAGCATTGTTCCTTTTTTTTTTATCTCGACTGATATGTCAATGATTCGCGAACAGATGTTGGGAACTGCGCGAACGGTACAATAAGAGGAAACCCTTTTAGTAGCCTGGTAGGAAGAATTTACTGATGACGATGAGTTGGGAACTTCAGGGATAATTAGAAACCAAAAATAATACGACACTTAATGAAGCACAAAGATTTCTTTATGCAGCTTATTAGGTCATGTGGGTTTTTAGTAGGTTGTCAGAGTAGGTTGTTAGTAGGTTGTCACACTTGATCATTCAGCTGCAAATTATAATACAACAGTGCTGTATCAACGTATTACATTCATCATTTATTTCCGATTATGTAAGTATGATTAAGCCATCTGATGATAAATCACAGTCTTTCTTAACCCGACGTCTTAAAGTTTGTTTCAAAACTTTTAAATTGCTAAGTTTCAAGCCAATGTACAGAAAGTTGAAGAGATAGCTCAGAGAAACAAATTTGCTGTCAAGTTACATCCAACAAAATTGCAAAATCTGCCAGGTTCTTGCATGACACGCCTAAAAACAGTTTTCTCGCTGTAAAGTACACAAAGTTGCAAAACGACGTCACCAGCCTAAAATGTTTCATAAAGCAAAAAATTTTACACAGAATGTTTTTTTTTCAAAATTTTAAAGAAATGTTTTTTCATATTTTTTTTTGACTTTTTTATAATTTACTTAGTTGACCATTTATTTAAATTGAATTTTTAAGAATAAAAGGTATAAAAAATATAAAATCTAGTAACAAAAAATTTCCAAATTTTATTACAGTTAAGCTGAATTACAGTTTTGACATGTCAAGCAACAACGTCGAAAATCCTGCAAATTTTTAGGACAGCAATTTGACAAGGACTTCACTTTTCCAGTCTTTGTCTTCAGTTTTTTGTATGATAAACTGAACTTAATATCTCAATAAGACTTTATAGATAAAGCTTCTTCTACTTTGTTTATGTTATCAAAAAAAACCTAGTACTGTATTTCAACGACAATTCTTGCAAATCGTAAAACTGAAAGCTGCTTTTGATATATAGCCTGTATACCACTGTATAACTTTTAGTCATTTATAGAACTTATACTGCTAAGCCTTCTAGGTGGTTCTTGCCGGTGTAGTTTTTATTTATCGTATAGATGTCAGCCGATAACTTGTAAAGAAGTTTAGAACAAAATGGTTCCACACGTTGTTGCCCGCATATAATAATCCATTCCTTTCGCTTCCTAATCAGACATTGTAGAATAACATTTTAGTGGGAGTGATAATCATCAAATAGATCTAAGTTATCTGTTTCTTATTTTATAAAAAGTTTCAGTGTTTTTTTACATAATTTTAGTGTGAAACTTTTAAAGTGAAAGACGAAAAGATGGCAATATTGAAGCAGATGCTGCTTGGGATTGTTTGAGTCTCTGTCGACAGAATTTGCCATGAAAACGTGGATGAACTTCACATATATCTGTCAGTTGCTCGAACCTCTATGTTACAGCTAATGCCAAGTTAATCGCTTTAGAAATAACTGCAACTTTTAAATTTTAAAGCAGCAAAGGTCAACAACGTAAAATCAATATTTAGCAGTAATTTACAGCTCCCTACCTTCACTTACTTTAAGCAAGTGTTTTTTATGCGGAAACGTAGTTAGGCATGAGAAGTTACCGTTTTTGAGCAGAAAGGAAAAAGAAGAATTAGAAGCGAGAAGAAGAAGAGATAATGGTTAACATGACAATAAAAGGAACAGACTAACCACCAAAATTTTGCAAAAAATTGACGTTATAATAAAGTTCAGAAAAAGTTTAATAGTGTCTGGCTTATTATGCCTATAATCTTTCAAGAAACTTTATCGCATCTTACTGAACTATGTAAAGAAACAACTTTACCGTTTTTAAAAAATTGGGAATCTCAAAAGATAAATACGCCGAAGTGTAGGTTTGCGAAAGTTGTCATTTTTTAGATGGTGTAACTTTGTTTTCAAAAAATTTCTATTGTCCCGTATGTTAACAAGTCACTTCCATAGTTACAAATACTAAATAAAGAAAGTAAAGTTTTTTTAAAGTTTAGTTCGTCACTGAGCTGAAAACTACGAGTTGTTCTAAAAATTAAACGTTTTTTGGAAGTTGTTTTGGCAATGTTTTTTTTATCTTTCAATCACATTTATTGTTTTTTTTTCTGCCTCTTTTTCTGCATAACAAATTTTTTTTATTACACTTAGTCTTTGTAAAAATTAAGAACAGTAACAGTCTTCAAGAGCTGATTTATTAATTTTGGTCTTATGCTACTTAATTTAAAAAAATGAATTAGCTGGGGAAAACAATATTGCTTATATCTAGAAAAAAAAAAGAATTTAAAAATTTGAAACAATATAATAAAGGACATATCTTTTAGTAGTTTCAGTTTTCAAGTTTATGTAATAAACAGGTGAAATGGTTTACAGGTTTGCAGTGTGTACAGCAGCTTCCATTATCAAAAGTTAATTTTTGCTTTGGTCAGCAAAAAACTTTTCAAGTCTTTTAAAGGACCGTTCTGTTACTCTTATTATACACGTTTGTTCATACCGTTCTATACCACTCTTCAATTTTAATCAATATAAAACTTAAATATTGTTTTTTGATAGTTATTAAAGTTTGAAATTAAATTGTGTTATTGTTTCTACGCTTTATTTCTTTTTGTTTTATTTTATCTGTAGAATTTTGCATTTCTGAAACTTTTATTTGTTAATTTAATTATTACTATGCATCAGGTATTATAATAAATTGTAAAAAACTAAGCAGCAAAAACAAAAAATAAAAAAGATAATTTTTCTAGGGAATATAAAAGTAGGACAGCTTTTTAGTGAAATGAAAAAGTAAACTATGATACTTTGAGCTGTTTTCACTTATAAGGTATTTTCTGTAATACCTCTTTAAATAATGTAACTTTATGTGCAACTAGTTTATATTTACTAAACAAGGTTAGTAGTAGTTATCAAACTAAGTTTGAACTGTTTCGTGTTGTTTAGCTTCACAGCGACTAATTGCTCTTCAATGACGAGCGATACTGAGCAGTTAATTGAGAAACCGTCTGATGATAAAAAGAGGTGAACGTTTTTTCAAATTTTTTTTTCTATTTTGACTTTCAACTCTTTCAGTTCCAAGTGACGTTGCTGGCAGAAAAAGAAGCAATCACATATCTTTTTTTATATTTATCAACAAAAAAAAGCGACATTTTATGAAGTTTTAGGCTGTCTAGTCTTTATTAGTTTAGGCTTACTAAAGCTACTCTTTATCTTTTTAGCTATTGCTTCTCAAATTTGATCTTATAATTTACAAATAAACCAATAAACTTTTTTTACGTATAAAAAAGTAGTATGCTTGTGTTTTATTCTGTCTTTTATTTTCTAAACTTTAAAAATTAATTATAAATTTTCAAAAATGTTTCAGTGTTATAACGATACATAAAGTTGCAGCTGCAATAATTGTTGCAGTATCTGTGTTATTTATATGTCTGGCAATTTTTTTTGCTCTTCTCTACTTTGGTTCCTACAAGGAATTGGTTAGTGAATTTTCTGCTTTTTTTTTTTAACTTGCATTTTCAAACAGTAACCAAATATAATTTATAGTACTGCTTATAGTCCCCTCAACTTAGTTTATAGAAAACAAAAAGTTTTTCTTGTAGTTACCCAGTTGGGTTGGACCAAGAAATAATCAAACTAGCTACTATGGCAAAGCTGCTGTAGCATCCGATAATGTACGGTGCTCTGAAGTTGGCCGGTTCGTTTTCAAACTAAAATTTCAGCGATAGCTTAGTTGACAGTAAAAGATTGGTTGAAGAAAATAAGGAAATAAATGTTTTTATCTCGTTTGTTTTTATGTACTGTTAAACAACGAAAGCTTCGAGAATTTTATATTTTAGTGATGTCCTAATCGAAGGTGGCAATGCCGTAGATGCAGCGATTGCAACAATGATCTGCCTTGGTGTTGTAAATCCAATGAGCAGCGGACTTGGTGGTGGTCATTTTATGACCATTTTCAACGCGTAATTTCTTCTTTTTTACTTTCCCCTGATAAGTAATATATAAAAAAATATAAATTTACTAAACGTCATAAAAACTTTGACAACTGATTATAATAAGCTGCACCCTACTCCAATTTAAAGAGCAAAAGTTAATTGAGAATGAAAGGTACTGTAAAGTTTTAAAAGGCAACAGAAAATTTTTCAAAAAAAAAAAAGTTTATGTACATAAATAACACTCAGTTTGACATACTTTTTTATTTAAGTTATTCCAAATAAATTTGAAAAAATTTTATTTTTAAGTTCAACTGGAAAATGTAGTTCAATTGACGCCCGTGAAACAGCACCTCATGCAGCCTTCAAAAACATGTTTGATAATAAACCGGAAGACGCACGAAAAGGTGGTACAACTGATGCAATTGAAAAAAGTCCTGCAGAACGCTGTTTAATGAAAATAGTTTCTCCATTTTTTTAGGATGGCGAGCCGTAGCCGTTCCTGGTGAACTTCACGGTCTTAGAACTGCATATGAGAAATATGGTGGCAAGTTGTCTTGGCGTAGACTGTTTCAACCTTCGCTAGAAATGCTTGCAGTTGGCGTTCCTGTTTCACAAGCATTAGCTGCAGCACTGAAGGTACTGCTCCACAGACAGTTTAAACGACCGTAAGGCAAAATATTAATTCTGACTTTATAAAACGAATAATCACGCAAATGCTACATCATTTTTAAAATATTCTTTTTATTTGTTCAGGTTTTTAAAGTAAAGCAGAAAAAAGTAGATTAGTTGCTTTAATTTTATTGATTATTGTTTTAAGATGGAAGAAAGAAACGTTTTAGTTGAGCCAACGCTCTCTGATTTTGTAGATCCTAAAGAGAAGACCGTATATAAATATGGCAATATCATGAAAGGTCGTGTCATGTTGAGGTTTGAATAAAAAACTTTTCAAAAAAAATATGAATTTGTGCTATAGCGTTTATTTGACTATTATTATTTTAATGTGCTGTAAAGTAATAATCGTAGAGACACTCTAAAGTATTTGGCCAATGCAAAAAATCCAATTGCTGAATTCTACGATGGTGAAATGACGAAACTGTTTGCTGGAGAATTTGAAGAAAATGGTACACAAAACACTTAGAATTTTCTCAACTTGCATGCTAAGCATCCAAAGAGCGAAAAAATCTGATCTTCAGTCGCTTTCGCTCGTTAATTTGCTGCAGTGTGTAATGTTTTTAGATGGCATCATTACGCTCGATGACTTCAAAAATTACTCGTCAATTGTTCGAGAAGAATCTGAAATGATCGTTACAAATATTGGCAATTACACTGTTTGTGGTCCACCTCCTCCGTCATCTTCAGCAGTTACTCAAAGCATAATACAAATACTGCATTCATACCGCAACGAATTGGACGAGGTAAAAAGGATCAAATAATTTTTTGCGATAGCATTTAGAGTGTATATTAAGTCAGTACATCAAATAATCATTTATAAACAACAGTTAGGTGTTTCAGTCAAACACTGAAATCAATGTAGATATTCTGCACAAATTCATAGAAGCATCACGATTCGCTTACGCTGCAAGAAGTAAATTAGGCGATGTAAGATTCGAAAAAGATGCTCTAGAAATTGCAAGGTCTGAAAAGAAACAAACAATGAATTCAATTTTTCAGTTTTAGTTTTTGTTTTTGTTTTCGTTTTTTATTTAACAACAAAAAGTTGCAAGAAAAAGAGATGATTTTTCTATTTTTTTTAAAAAAACTGAAGACTAATGTTACAGAAATATAAGTACCGAAGACTTTGCTGAAATCTTAAGAAAGAAGATAACGAAAAAAACTCATGAACCAGAATATTATGGAGGTATCTTTGAACCAGTAAAAGACCAAGGAACGACAAACATTGCAATTGTTGATTCTGATGGCAATGCTATTGTCGTTACAACTACAGTAAATCTATTGTAAGCAAAAGATAATTTGAAGCATAAGTTATACCAACAACCAGCAGTTCCCAATTGCAACTTTTTTATCATTTTATTTTAACATTAAACGATAAAACATTTCGAACATTTTCTTCATTAATTGACAATTAATTTAGCTTTGGTGCTCAAGTAGCTTCAGAAAGCACAGGAATAATTTGGAATTCACAAATGGATGACTTTTCGTTACCAAAACGGCCAAATTCATATGGTTATCCGCCAGCTCCAGCAAACTTTATTGCTCCTGGGAAACGACCACTGAGCTCAATTAGTCCACTTATTTTTATAAGCAATGACACTAAAAAGGTTTGCTTTAAGAGTTCTTCTATAAGGTTTTTATCTGTGTTAACATTATTTAATTTGGCAAAAAGTTTGTAATTTGCATAGGTTGAACTCGCAGTTGGTTCAGCTGGAGGTTCGACAATTATTTCAACAGTATCATTAATTGCATACAGAATTCTAACGCTCGGTTGGGATATAAAAACAGCACTTGATGCTCCACGAATTCACGATCAACTTATACCAAATCGTACTGAATACGAGTCGAATTTTCCACAGGCAACTCACTGTTTTTTTCTTGGTTTTCTATATAAGTTTCATAAGATAAATAAAGTATAGACTTAATTATTATATAGAGGTACGTGAAAAAACTAGCGAGTAGAGGACATACGATGGCAATAACACGGGGTATCGGAGAAGCCACCGCCGTACATCCAGTTAATCAAAGAGTCTATGCTTACAGTGATTTTCGAAAAGGAGTAGAAAGTCTTGCTGCTGGATACTAAGTGTGAATTACAGTTTAGGATTATACTATTAAATCAACAATTTTTTCAAATGTACCCTATTGTGATTTGTAATAAGAAATCTAATGAGGCATATAAAGAAAAAGTCTAGAGATTTGCTCAGAGTGAAACTACGATAACCGTTTGAATAAAAAGAAATTTTTTCAATTTATTTCTGACAATTACTAAGTAATTGCAACATTGTACTGTTCTGCTTGTAATACTTTTTTGAAAAAAAAACAAAAATAAACTACATTACAGAGATATTAATAAGAAGCAAATTTTGAAAAAGAATTAGTCATGTAAGAAGAATGAGTTTACTAGCCAAAAAAATTTTGTCAAAAACTTTTAATTCAAGTTTGATAACCTTGAGAAGCAAGTTGTTTCTAATGTTTTTTGAACTTCTTTTTTTGCTCAATAAACCTTACTCAAATTGCAAATTCATGGATCTTTTTTGATTTAGTACAGCGAATTCAAGTACCTATAGCTTACCTTTAAACAGTATAACTGTTTAATTAGAGGGCTAAGAATTATATGCCAGAAGAACCTGCATCAAATTTAAGGCTGTCTGTCAAAGTTAAAGTGTTATTTTTAGTGTTTTGATGGTGTCAAACATAAATTAGTATTGCTTTTACTGTCATTACTCATGCAAAATATAACCTTCTCTGTTTCTTAGCGATATAATAATAATTATTGACGAAAATTGTTGTTTTAAATAATCAAAAACAACTGCAAAAACTCGAAAAAGCAAAAACGTTTAAAAATATGGTGTAAAAAATCTACCAAAAGTTAAAAAAGTGCTATATTTAAATTTTTTAAAAGAAAAACAGAGAAGAAAAGAAGAATTACAGAAAATCGAGAAAGAGACAGGTAAAAAAAAACTAAAGAAAAAAAAATTTTGGTCACTGAAAATTTTACAGCATTAATAAATTACCAAAGAAACTATCAATGTTATATATTAAAAAAAAATTTTTTTTTTTTAGCTTACTGTGTGAATTAAAATGCGTGAATTGTTTAAGCTCTAAGGTACTATAAAAGTAACTGTAAAAAACGCTTTTTTTGCGCTATATAATTTTACTGTTTCAAATACTTTTCAGTGACACTTTCAGTCAAAAACCGACAAATTATTGTTTTGTTTGAAAAAAAAATTTTTTTTTCTTATTAAAGAGTCAAGAAGCAATTTATTTTTATTTTTTTTTTCCTTCTTTAATTGCCCTTGATGTAATGACATTAAAAACTATAAAGGTAATAAAAAAAAATAAATTAATGACAGCATAAATTGCAAATTATATGAATTAGAAACACATTAATAACTTGCACAGTATATGTTTACTTATGATTTAACTTATATGTATCTCTTTAATTTTTTGCTACTTACAGTGATCAGTTTGACTTATTAAAAGCCGTTTCAGTTTGAACAAAGCAACTGCTAGTTTTTTTTTTTTTTTTTTTTT